CCCATGTGCTGGCATCCCATGTGCTGGCATCCCATGTGCTGGCATCCCATGTGCTGGCATCCCATGTGCTGGCATCCCATGTGCTGGCATCCCATGTGCTGGCATCCCATGTGCTGGCATCCCATGTGCTGGCATCCCATGTGCTGGCATCCCATGTGCTGGCATCCCATGTGCTGGCATCCCATGTGCTGGCATCCCATGTGCTGGCATCCCATGTGCTGGCATCCCATGTGCTGGCATCCCATGTGCTGGCATCCCATGTGCTGGCATCCCATGTGCTGGCATCCCATGTGCTGGCATCCCATGTGCTGGCATCCCATGTGCTGGCATCCCATGTGCTGGCATCCCATGTGCTGGCATCCCATGTGCTGGCATCCCATGTGCTGGCATCCCATGTGCTGGCATCCCATGTGCTGGCATCCCATGTGCTGGCATCCCATGTGCTGGCATCCCATGTGCTGGCATCCCATGTGCTGGCATCCCATGTGCTGGCATCCCATGTGCTGGCATCCCATGTGCTGGCATCCCATGTGCTGGCATCCCATGTGCTGGCATCCCATGTGCTGGCATCCCATGTGCTGGCATCCCATGTGCTGGCATCCCATGTGCTGGCATCCCATGTGCTGGCATCCCATGTGCTGGCATCCCATGTGCTGGCATCCCATGTGCTGGCATCCCATGTGCTGGCATCCCATGTGCTGGCATCCCATGTGCTGGCATCCCATGTGCTGGCATCCCATGTGCTGGCATCCCATGTGCTGGCATCCCATGTGCTGGCATCCCATGTGCTGGCATCCCATGTGCTGGCATCCCATGTGCTGGCATCCCATGTGCTGGCATCCCATGTGCTGGCATCCCATGTGCTGGCATCCCATGTGCTGGCATCCCATGTGCTGGCATCCCATGTGCTGGCATCCCATGTGCTGGCATCCCATGTGCTGGCATCCCATGTGCTGGCATCCCATGTGCTGGCATCCCATGTGCTGGCATCCCATGTGCTGGCATCCCATGTGCTGGCATCCCATGTGCTGGCATCCCATGTGCTGGCATCCCATGTGCTGGCATCCCATGTGCTGGCATCCCATGTGCTGGCATCCCATGTGCTGGCATCCCATGTGCTGGCATCCCATGTGCTGGCATCCCATGTGCTGGCATCCCATGTGCTGGCATCCCATGTGCTGGCATCCCATGTGCTGGCATCCCATGTGCTGGCATCCCATGTGCTGGCATCCCATGTGCTGGCATCCCATGTGCTGGCATCCCATGTGCTGGCATCCCATGTGCTGGCATCCCATGTGCTGGCATCCCATGTGCTGGCATCCCATGTGCTGGCATCCCATGTGCTGGCATCCCATGTGCTGGCATCCCATGTGCTGGCATCCCATGTGCTGGCATCCCATGTGCTGGCATCCCATGTGCTGGCATCCCATGTGCTGGCATCCCATGTGCTGGCATCCCATGTGCTGGCATCCCATGTGCTGGCATCCCATGTGCTGGCATCCCATGTGCTGGCATCCCATGTGCTGGCATCCCATGTGCTGGCATCCCATGTTCTGGCATCCCATGTGCTGGCCTCCCATGTGCTGGCATCCCATGTGCTGGCATCCCATGTGCATGGCATCCCCATGTGCTGGCATCCCATGTGCCTGGCATCCCATGTGCTGGCATCCCATGTGCTGGCATCCCATGTGCTGGCATCCCATGTGCTGGCATCTCCCATGTGCTGGCATCCCATGTGCTGGCATCCCATGTGGATCCATTTGGCATCCCATGTGCTGGCATCCCATGGTGCTTGCATCCCATGATGCTGGCATCCCATGTGCTGGCATCCCATGTGCTGGCATCCCATGTGCCCTGGACATCCCCATGTGCTGGCATCCCATGTGCTGGCATCCCTATGTGCTGGCATCCCATGTGCTGGCATCCCATGTGCTGGCATCCCATTTGTGCTGGCATCCCATGTGACTGGCATCCCATGTGCTGGCCCATGTCCATCCATGTGCTGGCATCCCATGTGCCTGGCATCCCATGTGCTGGCATCCCATGTGCTGGCCATCCCATGTGCTGGCATCCCATGTGCTGGCATCCCATGTGCTGGCATCCCATGTGCTGGCATCCCATGTGCTGGCATCCCATGTGCTGGCATCCCATGTGCTGGCATCCCATGTGCTGGCATCCCATGTGCTGGCATCCCATGTGCTGGCATCCCATGTGCTGGCATCCCATGTGCTGGCATCCCATGTGCTGGCATCCCATGTGCTGGCATCCCATGTGCTGGCATCCCATGTGCTGGCATCCCATGTGCTGGCATCCCATGTGCTGGCATCCCATGTGCTGGCATCCCATGTGCTGGCATCCCATGTGCTGGCATCCCATGTGCTGGCATCCCATGTGCTGGCATCCCATGTGCTGGCATCCCATGTGCTGGCATCCCATGTGCTGGCATCCCATGTGCTGGCATCCCATGTGCTGGCATCCCATGTGCTGGCATCCCATGTGCTGGCATCCCATGTGCTGGCATCCCATGTGCTGGCATCCCATGTGCTGGCATCCCATGTGCTGGCATCCCATGTGCTGGCATCCCATGTGCTGGCATCCCAGTGCTGGCATCCCATGTGCTGGCATCCCATGTGCTGGCATCCCATGTGCTGCATCCCATGTGCTTGGCATCCCATGTGCTGGCATCCCATGTGCTGGCATCCCATGTGCTGGCATCCCATGTGCTGGCATCCATGTGCTGGCATCCCATGTGCTGGCATCCCATGTGCTGGCATCCCATGTGCTGGCATCCCATGTGCTGCATCCCATGTGCTGGCATCCCATGTGCTGGCATCCCATGTGCTGGCATCCCATGTGGCTGGCATCCCATGTGCTGGCATCCCATGTGCTGGCATCCCATGTGCTGGCATCCCATGTGCTGGCATCCCATGTGCTGGCATCCCATGTGCTGGCATCCCATGTGCTGGCATCCCATGTGCTGGCATCCCATGTGCTGGCATCCCATGTGCTGGCATCCCATGTGCTGGCATCCCATGTGCTGGCATCCCATGTGCTGGCATCCCATGTGCTGGCTCCCATGTGCTGGCATCCCATGTGCTGGCATCCCATGTGCTGGCATCCATGTGCTGGCATCCCATGTGCTGGCATCCCATGTGCTGGCATCCCATGTGCTGGCATCCCATGTGCTGGCATCCCATGTGCTGGCATCCCATGTGCTGGCATCCCATGTGCTGGCATCCCATGTGCTGGCATCCCATGTGCTGGCATCCCATGTGCTGGCATCCCATGTGCTGGCATCCCATGTGCTGGCATCCCATGTGCTGGCATCCCATGTGCTGGCATCCCATGTGCTGGCATCCCATGTGCTGGCATCCCATGTGCTGGCATCCCATGTGCTGGCATCCCATGTGCTGGCATCCCATGTGCTGGCATCCCATGTGCTGGCATCCCATGTGCTGGCATCCCATGTGCTGGCATCCCATGTGCTGGCATCCCATGTGCTGGCATCCCATGTGCTGGCATCCCATGTGCTGGCATCCCATGTGCTGGCATCCCATGTGCTGGCATCCCATGTGCTGGCATCCCATGTGCTGGCATCCCATGTGCTGGCATCCCATGTGCTGGCATCCCATGTGCTGGCATCCCATGTGCTGGCATCCCATGTGCTGGCATCCCATGTGCTGGCATCCCATGTGCTGGCATCCCATGTGCTGGCATCCCATGTGCTGGCATCCCATGTGCTGGCATCCCATGTGCTGGCATCCCATGTGCTGGCATCCCATGTGCTGGCATCCCATGTGCTGGCATCCCATGTGCTGGCATCCCATGTGCTGGCATCCCATGTGCTGGCATCCCATGTGCTGGCATCCCATGTGCTGGCATCCCATGTGCTGGCATCCCATGTGCTGGCATCCCATGTGCTGGCATCCCATGTGCTGGCATCCCATGTGCTGGCATCCCATGTGCTGGCATCCCATGTGCTGGCATCCCATGTGCTGGCATCCCATGTGCTGGCATCCCATGTGCTGGCATCCCATGTGCTGGCATCCCATGTGCTGGCATCCCATGTGCTGGCATCCCATGTGCTGGCATCCCATGTGCTGGCATCCCATGTGCTGGCATCCCATGTGCTGGCATCCCATGTGCTGGCATCCCATGTGCTGGCATCCCATGTGCTGGCATCCCATGTGCTGGCATCCCATGTGCTGGCATCCCATGTGCTGGCATCCCATGTGCTGGCATCCATGTGCTGGCATCCCATGTGCTGGCATCCCATGTGCTGGCATCCCATGTGCTGGCATCCCATGTGCTGGCATCCATGTGCTGGCATCCCATGTGCTGGCATCCCATGTGCTGGCATCCCATGTGCTGGCATCCCATGTGCTGGCAATCCCATGTGCTGGCATCCGACCATGTGCTGGCATCCCATGTGCTGGCAATCCCATGTGCGGCAACCCATGTGCTGGCATCACCATGTGCTCGGCATCCCATGTGCTGGCAATCCATGTGGCTGGCATCCCATGTGTGCTGGCATCCCATGTGCTGCATCCCATGTGCTGGCACAGTCCCATGTGCTGCATCCCATGTGCTGGCATCCAAGTGCTGGCATCCCATGTGCTGGCATCCCCATGTGCTGGCAACCCCATGTGCTGGCATCCCATGTGCTGGACATTCCCATGTGCTGGCATACCATGATGCTGGGCATCCATGTGCTGGCATCCCATGTGCTGGCATCCCATGTGCTGGCATCCCATGTGCTGGCATCCCATGTGTTGGCACCCATGTGCTGGCATCCCATGTGCTGGCATCCCATGTGCTGGCTCCTCTCCTCCCACAGTGATGTCAGGGCCATCATGAGGAGCCAATGCCTCCATATCTCCCCCCACCTGTTTGCTCCTCGTTGGATCATCATCTCCGAGTCCCCGCACCTTCAGGGTTTTAATCCCCCCCCAACACCTACCTCGCCGTCATTCACCCGCACACCCCCACCCCACCCCTACCTCAGGGCCGAACGCCTCTGCGTCGTCAGTGAGAGGAACGATGCCTTCGCCCTCCTCATCGCTGTACCCCAGCGGCTCCTCCCCTGATACTGCCAGCCCCCATTGCTGCCCCCCGCCCTCCCCACTGCCGCTGCCTGCAGCACACCATGGGGAACGGGGGGAGTATTGAGGACATGAGAAAGCAGCACGGTCTGGCTGGCCCTCTCTTCACCTCTGGCTGGCCCTCCCAGCACGGTCTGGCTGGCCCTCCCTTCGTTTCCTTCACCAGCGGAGATTCCTCCCCCACACTGCCACTGTCGTCTCGACTGCTTGCCGCAACGGCAGCCGTGGAGTGCTGCCAGTGAAACATGATTAGAAAGGGCAGGACGGGAGGGAAGCCATCTGAAGAAGGCTATATGCCAGTGAACATGATTGGGATAGGGCAGGGCGGGAGGGAGTGAGGGATGGAGAGGGGTGGTGAGGGGGAGGGCGGCCGGAACAGGCAGAAGGGAGACGATGGGTGTGGTAGTTGAGAAGCAGAAGCGACAAATCAGACCATGACCCGCCGCCCTTCCCATCGTTGTGCTTCAAAGGCTTCTCCCTGACATGTGATGCGACATGTGTCATGTGATGCGACATGTATCATGTGATGCGACATGTGTCATGTGATGCGACATGTGTCATGTGATGCGACATGTGTCATGTATGCGACATGTGACATGTGATGTGACATGTGATGCGACATGTGACAAGTGATGCGACACGTGACATGTGATGCGACATGTGTCATGTGATGCGACATGTGACATGTGATGTGACATGTGATGCGACATGTGACATGTGATGCGACACGTGACATGTGATGCAACATGTGTCATGTGATGCGACATGTGACATGTGATGCGACATGTGACATGTGATGCGACACGAGACATGTGATGCGACATGTGACATGTGATGCGACATGTAATGCGACATGTGACATGTGATGTGACATGTGATGCGACATGTGACATGTGTCATCCCTGCTGTTGCCGCCCTGTCGCCAGAATTGCTGCCTGTAACGTGGGGATGAGGAGGGAGAGACAGCTGGATCGAATATATGAAATCTATCCGTCCGTCCATACGTCCGCCCATCGGCCTGTCCGTCGACCTGTGCTACCATGCACCCTGCCAATACCTAAACCCTCTGTCCGACCTCACCTTGCACGGCGTCCCACAGCGACGTGCGCACCACGGCGCCGCCTCGCCGCCTCGCAGGGCGAGTCATGCTACCCGGCACGCCTCGCGATGGCCGTCCGATCGGCATGGACGACCGAATCGACGGCACAGAGCGCGATGGTGGTGCTTGCGAGGCGCGTTGGTGCAGCGGATGTAGCAACGATGCGGGGCGGTGAAGCAGAGCCATGGCGCGACGCGCGGGAAGGCGGACCGGTGTAGGCGAGACCGCGGCGGATGAAAAAGCTACCAGCCACAACTTGGGGTTGGGAGAGCGTTCGGGCTAGCGAAAGCGACCAGGGGGTTATACTAGAACAGCAACAAGCTGCTCCACCTAAGGCGGGGAGGTGCTCGGCTAGTGATGAGTCGAAGGAAAGTTGGACGTCTAGCAAAACCCAGGTATTTCAGAGGGAGCAATTTCCAAGAACCGGAGCGGAAGTGTTTGTTACAACTATGTAAGGAAAATTCATTTTCCTTGCTTCGCGTCCCTACTCAGCGCGTACACCACTGCTCCCGCCAACAGCACCCAACAGTAATCCGTTACCACTCACGACACTCGCCTCGACACTGTTCCCACCACGGTTCACGACGCGACCCAACCTCACGGTTCGGTTGGTAACCCGCGCTCCGGACCTCCGCCTCGACAATCCCCAACCTCGGCGCCAGGCCCGTCGCGCACCCCAATTTCCACGCATTACCGTTACCACTGTAGTTTCGCTATATATTCTTCGCTCATGCCTTCGCTAATTGTATTCTTGCTTCGATAGTGCAATTCTCGCTCGCTCACTCAATTGCACTCGTAACACTTGGTATCAGAGCCTACGATCTCTTCTCGGACCGCACCCACACCTTCGCTTCCCCACTATCTCAATTTTTGGGGGGGGGGTAAACGTCTCTCAGCGACACAGCACCGCCGCTCGTAGTGCTCTCTCGTAAGCACGCACGGCCACGACCGAGGCTCTCGCTGAGCTCGCCCGACACCCCCACCATGGCCGAATTCAATCTCGCGACCTTGACGCAGGAACAGCTCGACCGTCTGGTGCGCCAAGTTGAAGAATCGGCACTCGAAATCGCGACGCTCACGGCGGAACGTGACTCCGCGCATCAGCAATCCACGGTGAACACTCCAGCAGCACCACACGCACCAACAAATGCACCTGCACAATCGGACGAGCCAATCGTCATCTCGTCCGGTACACCAACACAACACGACAGCGTGGGACAGCGCTCAGGTGCAGCCAGTGATAGCGCCGCCCAACCAATGCCTGGCATGGGAGGAAACAGGGTCGCGCCAAGCCCGCGGGAGCCTCGCGAAGCCCGTCGGCACGTGGAGTTCGCGGCGACAAGTGGCGAACAGGCCATCATGGCACCAATGCCACTCAAGCCGCAACGCCCGCCCTGCTTCGACCCGAGCCAGCGTGGAGGTCCGACGGTTCAATCGTGGTCTTCACGATGAACGTCTTCTTCGACGCGAATTACGTCGAGTCGGACGCAGCGAAGATTCGGTATGCCGTTTCGCTGCTAAGGGGCCCCGCCATGGACTGGTGCCGAGTCATCGTGACGTCGCCACGCGCCTACGAGCCACCGTCGCAAGAGGAAGGGCCCACGGGTCCAGCTGTCACCTGGAGTTCATTCTGCGAGACCGCCCAATACAGCACGTGGGATGCGTGGTGCGCAGGGCTTTGGGCGCGCTTCGAGCCGATCGCGGCTTCTATTTCGGCGAGTCAGAGACTGCGTACTTGGCGGCAGCTCGGGTCGGTTCAAGACTATACGAGTGGTTTTCTCGCATTATGCGAGCAGGTCGGCTACATGCATGAAGCGGAGCGGGTGGACCGTTACGTTGGGGGGCTGAAGCCGGACATCTCGCACGAAATCATGCTACGCAGACTCTCGAACTTCAACGAGATTCTCGCGCTCGCCGAGAAAATCGACATTCTGCGCCGACCGAGACCGGGGTCCTACTACGGACATCGTCCTCGGGGACCGACCGAGCACGCCACTGTACACGCCGTTGCGACAAATGCAGCTGCCGCGCCGTTTAAGGGGCGCTGCTTTGCTTGCAACAGGCCGGGCCATCGCAAGAGCGAATGTCCAGAGGAGCTGAGGCGCCGCGGAGCAGAGCAAGGGAGGGAGTCTCAGAGGCAGGGAAACGCCAGCAGTCAGTAGAAGTTGGGCCAACTACTGACGAGACTGCCTGCTCGCCCAACCGCACCGACCCTCACCGAGTCACAGTAGGGTACAGCGACGGATTGCCCAGTACTGATCCACGGGAAAATACAGGGAGCAGCAGTGAAGATTTTTATTGATGGAGGAGCAAGCCACAGTTTAGTTAATACCGCAACCGCACGGAAGCTACAACTGACACTTAGTCGCTGCTTACCTGAGATCGACGCACGCTTAGTTGACGGCACGCCGCTGGCCATACGGGAGAAGGTGGAAGAGTAAAAGTTCGCTGCGGGGGAAACTTCGGGTTTACACAGGAAATGCTCGCGACGACACTGGACGACAGGAAGCTGCACCGTGCGAAGTAGTGGTAACTGGATCGAACTACCCCGCTGGCAGTCGCCTGAGTCTTCAACGGTCCACGTCAACGCCATCACGATGAAACGGGCAGTCGCCGCTGGAGCTGACGTGTACGCAGTGGACATTGCAGTCGTAGGAGGAGCAGAGCAGTCGAACGATTTTCAGAAACTGTTAGCAGCAGTACCACCCGAACTACAGGAGCTGTTGAAACGGTACCCGGGGATTTTCCCCGACGACTTACCGGAGGGGCTGCCACCTCAAGCGGGCGCATGATCATAGGATAGAACTAGAACCGGGGGCACAGCCAACTGTACAGCGCCAGTTCAGACTGACACAGCACGAGCTCGACGAACTGAGGAAGCAGTTAGATTATTTGTTAGAGAAGCAGTTTATCCGGCCGAGTTCGTCACCGTTCGCCGCACCGATACTGTTCACGCCGAAAAAGGACGGAGGGTTTCGCATGTGCATCGATTACCGAGCGCTCAACTGGGTAACAGTCAAGTCGCGGTACCCCATTCCCCGCGCCGACGAACTGATCGACCAACTGCGAACGGCACGGGTTTTTTTCGAAAATAGATTTACGGGGAGGTTACCATCAGATTAGGGTCGAACCATCGGACTGCGCCAAAACAGCTTTCAGGACAAGGTACGGGTCGTTCGAATACACGGTGATGCCATTCGGGCTGACCAACGCACCGGCGACATTTCAGATGACCATGAACGAGGCGTTTAGGCCACTTTTAGATAAATGCGTGATAGTTTACCTCGACGACATCCTTGTCTACAGTCGTGACAAGCAGCAGCAGTTAGCGGATCTGGAAGTAGTTTTTCAGATTTTAGATAAGCATCGGTTACTAACCAAAGGTTCTAAGTGCGAGTTTTTTCAGGACAGGCTAGAGTTTTTGGGGCACGTTATTTCGGAGGCTGGGGTTGAAATTGACCCAAAGAAGCTGGACACAGTCAAAGCCTGGCACCCCCCGACGAATATCACGGAGCTGCAGAGTTTTTTGGGGTTTGTTAATTACGTCCGTCGGTTCGTCCCCGACATGGCTCGCTTAACAGCCCCACTGACGGATCTGCTGCGGAAGGGGGTCGTTTTTACGTGGGGGGAGAAAGAGCATGCTGCCTTCTCTGCCCTGAAAACTGTTCTCTGTTCACCACCCGTCCTGCGCATCACCGACCCACACCGCCCATTTGAAGTCGTTACCGACGCAAGTGACATCGCCATCGGAGCCGTACTGCTACAGGATTTCGGCAACGGCATACAGCCTATCGCATACGAGTCACGAAAGCTGCATCCGCCCGAGAAAAATTACCCGATACATGACCGCGAAATGGTTGCGATCGTGCACGCGTTCAAAGTTTGGCGCTGTTACTTAACCGGCGCAGACGTGACAGTACGGACATACCACCGATCCCTACAGTACCTCCGCGCACAGCCACACCTCAACCCACGACAGATTCGCTGGCTCGATTTCCTCGAGTCAAACTTCCACTACACGGTCACCTACAAAAAGGGAGCATCCAACATAGCCGACGCACTGACCCGCCCCACTGCCCAAATCCATGCGATACTACTCGCCCAGACCAGCCCGCTACTGACAGGACTATTTACCCACGGGTATCAAACGGACCAATTCTTCACAGGAGGAAATTTGCAGCAGTTCGCAGCAGCCAAGGGAGTCTATTACGTAAAAGCCGGGACCGACCGCATCTGGGTACCAGGGTATACACTGCTACGGGAATTACTGTTACAGGAGGCACACGACGGAGTTACCTCGGGACATTTTGGGGTAGAGAAAACACGGCAGCAGCTGCAGCGGTATTATTACTGGCCCAAAATGTTGACCGACGTTCAACGACACGTGGCATCGTGTCCCACTTGCCAGATCATGAAGTCATCACGGAAGCGGCCGGCAGGACAGTTGCAGCCGATACCACCCCCAGAGCGTGCTTGGCAGCAGGTGACGATGGACTTCGTCACGGGGTTACCGACCGGAGCGAGTGGGAATGACGCGATCCTGGTCGTCGTCGATCGACTGACGAAAATGGCACACTTCGCAGCCTGCAAAAAAATCAATCACAGCCGAAGAAACAGCCCGCCTCTTCATCTCTACCGTCGTCCGACTGCACGGGATACCAGCATCGATCATCAGCGACAGAGACACGAAATTCACCAGCAACTTCTGGCGGAACCTGTGGCAGCAGTTCGGCACGCGACTACAGTTTAGTTCATCATACCACCCCGAAACCGACGGACAGACAGAACGGACAAATCAGACCATGGAACAGCTCATCCGGGCCACGTGCGACGACCCGAACACGTGGGAACAGCAACTGCCACTCATCGAATTCGCATACAACAACTCACCATCCGCCACAACCCAACAGTCACCGTTTTACCTAAACTACGGACAAGACCCCACAGTACCCATGACCCCGAATCCCGACAACCCGGTGCCACGCGCGCAGAAATTTTGCAAGCAGCACGGACCAGGGCAGCAGACGCAATTAAAAAAGCTAACGTCATAGCAAAACGCAACGCCGACCGCCACGGCCGACCTGTCACTTACCAACCCGACGACCTAGGCTTACTCGACACTCAGAACCTCCGCCTGCCCATCACCCCAAAACTCCGCCCCCGATATTGCGGGCCATTTCGCATCA